CCCCCCCCCCCCCCCCAGGCCTGGCGCTCGCTGAGCCGCTGCCCCCGGGGCTCCCGGCTGCCCACCTGCCACGCCACCCTCCGGAGGGGCCGGGCGGAGATCTGGGTGTTCTGCGACCTGCTGGTGTCGGAGCAGGTGGGCCGCTTCCTGAAGGTCCAGCTGGGGCTGACCGGGAGCATCCGGCTGAGCGTGCACCGGCTGGGGGACGTCTTCAGCCTCTAGGGGGCCGGGAGCCCCCCCCACAACATCTGGACTCAGAGTGTCAGAACAACTGGACTCAGAGCGTCCTCAGTTCTCCACATTTATTGGAATTTAGTTTCTGTATTCAGTTAAAAACAAGCTGCTTCCTGTTGATTTTTCTGTCTGTGAATATTGGGAAGTTTGATCCTTTTTAATGCTTCGTTTCACCATTTTCAGAGCGGCTCCTCTTTTATTTTAGATTCCCCAGAATGCGTGGGATCAGCTGAAACCAGTGAGGCCGTGTGTGGTTTCTGGTGGCCTGTATGCTGCTGAGTACCAGAGCTTTAGGAGCCGGCTGCTGTTTTAAAGCTGCTCTCAGAAGGAGGACTTGGACTGTTTTTAATGAGAAAGATGAGTTTGATCTCACATTCCCAGAAATGAAATGAATCAGAGAATAAAACGGAAGGAAATACACACGCACCAAACCAAGTGAGCTGAGTTTCTGATCTTATCTGCCTGTGAACGCTCTCCTTAAAGGTGCAGAGTCCCTAAAACAATGTTTTTTAATCTGTTTTGTGTATTTATGAATATGAAATGTGTCATATTGGGGCCTTTTCTTCTTCTGTGGTGTCAATAAAAGCCGTATTTTAAAATGAAAAAGGGCCTCTGCGGCGGTGCAAGTGATTTGCAGTGTTCAGGAAAAGCTGCAGCAGCTGTCACATGATGCGCGTGTCCGCCCTGCTGACGCGCACGCGCACAGGGCCCGTGCTTGTGTAAGAGCTGAATGAACGAGGACAGCGTGCATGCAGAGAACCCCCATCTCACACTCGCTCTTTTGTCCCCACGGGCTCTTGTCTGACACCCCCCCCCCACCGCTCTGCACGCTGAATTAATATGTAGGTTACCGGATGTGACGTCAGAGCCAGGCCTCCCTGCCCGGCTGTAATCTCCCAGTAATCCGTTAATATTATGGCTTTTTTGGGCCACATACTCCTCGCACAGACAGAGGGCGAATGCATATAACTAAAACAGCCTAGTTTATTTCAACATTTCAACAAATAAATCTGCGTTTGCACCGTTTTTCATGTTTTTGCGTCACATTCAGTTTTATTCTGAAAGCGAATATCTTTCAGTTCTGCTCGGGTCTCCCACGTTAAAAAGTTCCCTCAAAATAGACATCTGGGAGGGATTTTCATCGTCGGTTTATTTTTTGTAGTAGTTTTAAAGCTCAAATTCCCTCCAAAATGAACACTTTTCTGACTTTTTAACAGTTCGATGAGACGAATGGAGTTTATTTTGACAGGCCGTACCGGAAGAGGTTTGGCTCATGCGCAGTTGACGTCCGTCAGAACGGAGAGCCTCACAGACGGCTGTGCGCGAGCGTCTTTTTTCTGGAAATAACCGCCTAAACACCGGAATAGCTCCGTCCCAGACCCCTGCCGGAGGCCCGTCCGCCCGCCGCCGCCTCATGACGCCCGCCGGCCGTCCTGTTGGAGGCTTTCGCGGGTGAAAAAGTCACGAATTTAAGGTGAGACGCCGGAGCACCGAGCAGCAGCTAGCATGCTAAGCTAGCCCTGGCCATAGCATTCTAAGCTAGCCCTGGCATTCTAAGCTAGCCCTGGCATTCTAAGATAGCCCTGGTATGCTAACTAGCCCTGGCATGCGCCACCGTTTCCCGTTTCCTGAAGGGATCCGCGGCTCGGTCCAAAGCTCTGCTCAGCACCAGAGAAACGTGGGCTTTAAAGGCCAGTATGCGCTAAAAAACACAACCCAAAAAGTTTTTTTAGCCCGTTAGTTTGTTTCGCTAGCTGGAAAGTAGCGTAAAACCTGGCTGTTCTGTTTATTTAAGCTTCTATTAGATAAAAAACACGTTTAATAGCGGCCTTTTCCTTTTTTCTCGCTCGCGTGTTTAGTTTTTGTGCTCTCGGGTCGCTTCCTTTCAGGCGGATTAACCCCGTAAATTTCCCGTGAAGGTTAGATAACATCAGTCATGTCAGCTATTTTCTGCTGTCAGCAGCCCAACCAAAAAAAACAACCAAAAAATCCCTGAAATGCTTAAATTTAGTTGAAAACTACCCTAAAAAAGTCTCAAACCGCATCGGGAGTGACTGGAATTGTTGTCCTAACTTCCTTGTTGTGTTTTGGGGGAAATGGTTTAGCTTTTTGCCTCAGAAATGGGGTTTATTTTTACTCTTTGTGGTATCAGATGAACATCTCTGAGTTGGGGATTTTTTGCTTTGCTTTGGTTTCACAGAGAAAACAAGCTGGGCATCTTTTTACTGCCTGTAGTTCCTGTTCTGCTGTTCAGGGTCATATTCTGAAACCAGTTCAGGAGTTTTAAATACAGTTTAAATACAGTGTTGAGCGATTAACTCACAAATTCATTCAGATGGTGTTTTTACTTGATTGGTTTGAAGCTAAATTGCTTATGTGAGTGTTTCTGAACTGAAATAGGTGGCATTTTCTGCCCTGTTGTTGGCTGGAGGTAACATCTAACATTAGATATATTTTTGTTATGGCACCATTGATTTGATGAGGTCATTAATCGATTTTAAAACGCATTTGATTTCAATTAGATATAATTTCGTAGCAGAAAAACAACCTGTTTTAGTGTCTGTTCAGACCCCTGATGAGGACTGAAGATAAAATGGTACCAGAATTGACAAAATGGGTTAGTTTATGAATAAATGATAAGTCATCAACATTATAAATTAATTGTTTTATTATATATTATTCATTTATTATATTTCTTTATTCATACATGTATTATTTTTCAGTTCCAATTCGCATCATTAAAAGTTTTTGATAATGTTGATATTTATTTTTATGTCCAGCTCACTTTTGAACTTAAATATGTTTTATTGGAATATTCATTCAAAATGTTAATAAATAGTAATACATAATTCCAATAATTTAATTACTTTCTTCTGCTGGTTTGTTACTTCTGTTTTCTTAGATCAGATTTTCCCTTTACCTCTATTTGAGATGTTTAATGTTTAAATGTTTGGAATTGTATTGAGTTATTTTGCAAGTTTAAATCTTTTCCCCTTATTTATTAACATGTTTTTTTCTGTCTATGTCCCAGATTTTAAATTCCTGGATGTTTTTGATTAATGAAACATCTGAAGAAGGTTGTAGCAAAGAAATTGCAAAGATTCAGTCAGAATATCAAATAAAACATTAAAAAAATAACTTTTAAAACAGAGTGTTAATAAATAGATGGGAACTAAACCCCAAAACCTTCTCAACCTTCAGTATTTCTTTGATGGTTGGTGTATTTATTTCAGGTTTTGTCTCTTTCAGTCCTCAGTGAGCAGCAGAAGCTGTAGGATTAAAAAGCCGTTTTAGTCTAATGAAGCTGTTTAAACTCAGTTTAACTGTTTAAATTCTGCCCTGAGTGGAGAAACGTCCTGAAGCCGAACCCTTGATGCATTCATCAGCTCCAAAACGATTATTTTAGGGATTATTTGCGACTCGTCTGCCCGGAAAGCTTCTCCTTTTCTGTGACAACCCAAGCGTTTCCTCTTCTGTGTCTGTGTTTGTGGGTCTTTGTGGGGGTTTTCTGTGTTTTTATTCACATTTTTTGTCTTTTTCTGCACCGTCTGAGTTTCATTTTGGTTGTTTGGTGTCTCTCTTATCTTGTGTCTTCACTTTTTGGGGTGTTTTTTGTGTTATTGGTGTTTTTTAGCTAGTCAGGAGGCAGGGTGTTTTTTAGCTAGTCAGGAGGCAGAAACTGGAGCATTCGGTTATTTTGGGGGCTTCCTGCCACCCAGACGTGGTCGTTATTGGCCGCTCTGGGCAGTAAAGGTGAGAAGTGGCGTCCTCTGGCTCTACAGGAAGCCGCCACCTCCCCGTTTGAGAGCCTGTAAACCTGTTGGCGAGCGGCTAGATGAGTCTGAACCCGGAGCGGAGCCACGTTTATGGTCATGATTCTGCATTTAGACGCTTTTTGTGGCTTTTAAAGTTGTTTTTTGAGCTGCAAAGTTGTTTTTTTGGGGGGGTTTAAAGTTGTTTTTGGGGCTTT